TGTGGAGGGTTGACCCCCTCATGACCCCAAGTTGAACGCTCTGTGACCTCTGGATTCCTAAAAAACTGAGTTGGTGACCTTTCACCTAATTAGTGTGTGGGGGGGGGGGGGATTTGATCTTGTGACCCCCAAGTTGAACTCTCTGTGACCCCCTGGATGCCCAAAAAATAAGTTGGTGACCTTTCACCTAATTAGTGGGGGGGAGTTGACCTCTCGTGACCCCAAGTTGAACTCTCTGTGACCCCTGGATTCCCAAAAAATAAGTTGGTGACCTTTCACCTAATTGGGGGGGAGCTTTGACCTCTCGTGACCCCCAAGTTGAACACAGAAAGGTCTGCGTGGGGTTCCTGTAGTCCAAGCCCCCCAAGGTGAGGCGAGGTCGATGCAGTGCTCCTGGGGCCCCCATTGCTTCCTGGCTGGGCAAAGGGCTGTGGTGGGGCTGTGGGCCAGGAGCGGGGGGCACGGCTTGGGGAAATTGCAGGAAGTGGGTGAGCAGAGCGTATGCTATGTGGCTGAAACTCCGTGTCCCAGGGAAGCCCGTCATCCAGTCTGCCTGCTCTCCCCAACTCCATCACATGTTGAAAGTGCAAAAACCCTGATGTTCAAAATACCCTCTACTTTCAGGGGGTTCACATTTCCACTTTCCCACGTGGACCTAGACACCACCCACAGAACTACAGTCAGACTGGGGCTTGAACCCACAACCTTTGCTACCAACAGCAGTAACCTTAGGAGCAGACTACAGGGAAAGGCTGAAAGCACTGCCTGCCATGGGTCCCTTGATGTGCAGCAGCCAGGCCCCTCCATTGAAAGAGGAAGGCACCTCCCCACTAAACAGGGGGAGGCCAGGACCTGAATCCAGGACCTCAGCACTCACAGTGGGAGACTCTGCACTGTGTACCACAGGGCCTGGCTGGCTCCAGGCTTCATTTCTGGGCCCCTTGACTCTTTCCCTGCGGACACACGCTGGCTCCACTACAAGGGGAGCCCTGGGAAAGCTGCAGCCCCTACCTACCTTGTGGCCTGGTGGTCAAGGTCTCATTCTTTCAGACAGGGCTTGTGGGTTTAACTCCATGCAGGGCCAGCATCCTTTGGCTTCAGCTTTTGTTCTTGCTTTCTCCGGTGGCGCTTGTGGGGGGAGTGTGACTAGGTGGTGTGGGTCTGTGTGTATGGCATTGTGAGGTGGGTGTGGATGCATTTGTATTGTGGGGGGGAGTGTGGGACTCACCCTATGAACACACACACTGTGTGCCTGTCTCTGCACACATACACACACTCTCTTTCTTTCTCTCCTCCCCTCCCTTATTGCACAGGCATGGGCGTGGACACACACACACACACACACACCCTCCTGCTCTTGACCCCAGGATACCTACGCAGCCTCATGTTCCTATGGTCCAGCAATGCAGCTGGGGGCCAGGTGGTGTTGGAGCAGCTGTGTGCAGGGAAGGAGTAAGAGCTGCTGCAGGCAGAGACTTCTGGGTGGGAGGGGCAGAGGTAGGAGGGGTTGGGGTGGAGGTGGGGGCATGCTGCTGAGTCCTCCGGGCTTCCCCTGGGTCCTGCTACCCCTGGATCCTGTCATCTTGGACAGGCAGCCAGGAGCAGATAAATATTAATTTTCTAAAATTTTTAGGGGCCCTGCAGGCCAGATCTGTGTCACGGGCCATATTTTACCCACCCCTGACCTAGGCCCAGATGGGCCTATTAGCCTTTTAGCCTTCCTCAGATGGAGAAGCTACAGAAGAAGATGACAATTGATTACTGGGGACAAATAATAAAGAAACAGGCACAGGAGTGCTGGTCAAAGGCACATAACAAGGGTCCTAAGGGTAGACACTGAGCAGAGCACACTGGATAACACCCGCTGGCCCTCGAACGAGTCCAGGGAGCCAGCAGACACTGCCCTCTGATACTCTGCTTGGAGACGGGAACTAGGTTGGGCAAGGAAATTCTCCCCATAGTCCCCAGGGACTCTCTGTGAGACACAGGAGACTGGGCAAGGTGGACCTAGGGCAGGGGTGGGCAAAATGCAGCTCGGGGCTGGATGTGGCCTGCCCGGCCATTCTATCTGGCCTGCGGGGTCCCTAAAAATTTTAGAAAATTAATATTTATCTGCTCCTGACTGCCTGTCACGCAGCCCTCAATGGCTTGCCAAAACTCTGTAAGTGGCCCTCCGCCCGGAATAATTGCCCACCCGTGACCTAGGGTCTGACCCAGTCAATGGCAATTCTTGTGTTCTTGCATATGACGTGTCCTGGAATAAGATGTATGCCTTGTTTTTGACAGGCTGAATGAAGGGGGAAAAAAAAGATTTTGCAGTAACAGAGTAGCAGCAGCATGAGAGATGCAGAAGCTTAAGTGTCAGGAACTGCTGTTACTGTATTTCCTTGCTTATTATGCACACCCTATTTCCTAGCAGCTGGTCTTTGAGAAGGCGGCATGTATAGTATGTAAGAAAATATGATATCTTGCAGGCACAACCTATAGCTGTACCCCAGTTGCTGCATTATCATTTAACATTACTGGGTTACTCTACCCTCCAACTCTCATGCAGTTCCAGAACAGCTGAGCCATAGGTTCTCCAGCAGCAAATTCTGGCCTAGGTGCCTTTTCAGCAGCCCGGTTGCTTATTTTCTCCATTACTCTATTATGGGCTTTACACGTAAAACTGCATGATTGTAGCAACCTTGACAACTTGCATGAGGATTGCGTTGCTCTATTATTTAGGAAAACAGCAAGGATTTTTGAGCAATCACCAAATGGGTTCTCTTAGTGAGGAAGGACTTACGTGCATGTTTAAAAAAAAAATGCAGTATATCTGGATGAAATCAGAAAAACGGCCATTGATTAAAGCAATAATCACCCATCCTTAGAATCACAATGTGTAATTTGGACCAAAGCAATTAGTGGTTTAATATCTTGACTGCTCAAGTTTAGCTATTGTGCTGTTTGTAATCATCTGAGATTGTAGCCAAAAATACACAGCCTTATGCACAACTTCCAGTAAATAACTTGATTTCTTCTACCCAGGTGCGTTTTAGTCCAAATAAAACATACAAGATGACCAGATGATTTACATTTTCCAGCTATAATGTGTGAAGAAGATTCACCAGCTGCGTGCAATAAAGTACAAGTACAAGGTTTCCCTGGAGAACTCAGATTTAAACATTTGGAAATATTGGCTCTTTTTGAGTGTTTTGTTTCACTCCTTCCTTCCCCCCACTCCAACTCTTCCCCACACCTCCAAAAACAGCAGAACAATTTTAGGATGCACAGAAAGTGAGGAGGAAAAAAGAGAGAAAGAGGCACAACAGTACGTGACAGTGATCTAGACGATTTTATTTATACACCAACTCCCCAGGTATTGGGCTTTGGATCTCTATTCTTGACTCATAGACATCTCTAACAAGTTTCCCACGCTGTGCAGGAAGGAATTAAGTTGTATTAGTTGTTCATGACTACTGTAAACATATTGTCAAGTTTTCCCAATTTCCTCTCCTCTAAACACACACACAAAACAATTTTACAAAAAAAGTTCTAGATGACCCTGTCTTTCTAGCTCTCGACTCAGTCACACGCTGTCTTTGAAGCTAAAATGCCTTGATGTGAATCTTGTCGCCACCGATATCTGCCGCAATCAACACTCTTTGATACATCCAGCTCCAGTCCATCTTTTCCTGAAGACTGTCCTTTTATTGCACGAGTGGATATTAAGCTCTCACCGAGTGGAGATTGTGCTTTGGAGCGTACCTATCCACGCCTTTTGACTTTAAGTACTTTACAGCAGGGACCTCTTGAATGTTTGGCACTTTTTTTTTGATCTTACATAGCACCATATATGTCAGCACTATGCTCAGGATTTCCTACAGCACTGCAGTCAATGCCACAGGTTTGGAGAGCGAGCATCAGGGAGTGCTTTCGTCTTCTGCTCGTGTTGCTGGATGTCCTTGGCCCATCACATTGAGCTTGAGTTAAAAGTAATTCTTCAACTTGTTAAGACCTGCCAGCTCGGAAGAGCCTCTCTCTCAAATGCACAATATCTGCTTAGTCCCTTTGGCTTCGCAAGTGCGTACAGAGGCAGTAGGTCTGATTTTGTCCTTAAGACTCTTTCAAGTATTTCTTTCTTCTGGCTCTCAAACAAATCAAGGACAGCAGTAAAACAAGAAAGGAAAATAAATCTTCTGATATATCACAACCACTACAGATTCTTTTCAGTCCTTTGCTTTTACACCTGGCTTCAGTAACGGCACATCTAGCATTTTCTTCACTTTCCTAGCAAGCTGTCCATGCTCTCGTTCCCAGCAGGGTGCGAGATGTTCGGAAGCGGTGAGGAGTTCTGTAGAATGGACGCAATGCATAGGCAAGTCCTGTTCTGGACTCTCTGCCACCCCAATGTGTCTGGTGTCTCACGGCATGTGTCATTTTCCCTCTGAAATATTCTGCAGAATTTTGATGAGGTTTTCCAGACCGAAAATATAGCCATGGTCCGGCCCGTCGTAGGTGGTGTGATTGCACTTTGAGCCTTTGTACGTGGTGTGAGCAAAGTCTATCATGCGAATGTCAACTTTGGCATGGCTGCTCCCATGGGACGTGGTGCAGTTTATGTTCTGGAAGCTCCCTTGAGGATAGTTGTCCAAAGTGGCTCCATTCTCCTTATGTTCTTGCCCGTCGTAGATGATGAGAAGCGAGCTGGAGTAGAAGCGATAGGAACTCTGCTTTTTAATGACCAGAAGCAAAGCCTTCAGCTGCAGCACGATGGGCTCCAGCAGGTCTGTTCTGAGGTGGTTCCCATTGTGAAGGAACTGGTGGAGGGCTTGCCTGAAGCCTTCAGGGGAGAGTTTCCTTCCGTAATACTTATCTTTGCAAAAAAATTGTCCCGTGTGAGCTTGGTAAACCTTGAATAAAAAGGAAAAAAAAGTGATGGGCATCTGAAATTATTTCATTTTTGAAGCGTTCCAAGGGAAAAATATCCTACGGCTTAGAGTTGCTCTAACTGACTGCTTCAAGCTGGCACACCTGGCATCTCTCTGATCTAAGTTGTATATGACAATTTAGGCAGCAGGCTTCTAACTGCAGAAGAAACCTCGTCTACACTGCCAGTTTAAACCATTGGTAGCCAGTCCCTGTCCCCCCAGTACAGTTGTCCAGGTTCATACAGCCCTACTGTAGTAGGCATTAAGATTGTACCAGGGCAAATGGAGGCCTATCTCAGCTGAAAACTGGTTTTGCAGGCACAGGTCAACCCAAAAGCTTGCTTAAAAATTGTTCTGCAACTATTTAAGTTGGTCTAATAAAAGATATCAGATTCACCCAAAGAACCTTGTCTGCCCGGGTCAAAATAGTGACTTTCCATAGAGCTACGTTAGCTGCCCCAGTGCCGTGCCTTCGCTCACCTGGGGCTGCACAGCATGCTATTTCCTCAGCCACAGAAATAAAGACTGGCAAGGAAGCTTAGAACAATTTACATGTTCAGCATCTGGTAGCACTATTCTCCATAGGAACTGGAGAAGGGGGATGCACAAGGAGGTTACATCCCTGATGCAATTCATAGGATAATCCGTTCAGTATCAGGATGGAGAGGGACCCGGTTGACACTGTTTACAACATGCAATACATGAGTTGTATAATAAGAACCATAATAATTATGCTTCACGCACAGGAGAGCGATGTTCTAAGCCTTCTCGGAGGCATAAGTGAAGCAGATTGATGGTTTCAGTTTCCAGGAGGAAGTAGCAATCATTTCCATCAAGAGGAGCCAGATAAATGTTTATTTATCCCAAGAGAAATGCATGGGTTTGCATTGATTAAACTAGACAGGTCTTGCAAATGAACCGAGCTTGGACAATTCATGTCCTTTTCCCCTTCTGGACAGCTCCAAGCCGCAGAATGCAGCCAGATTTTCAGCTGCTGTAAACTACCAACACTCGGCGGACATGAAGAACGAGCTCCCCCCTGTTTGCAGCAGCAGAGGACTGGGCCTGTAGAGGCGGTTACTCAAAATGCATGTTTGGAAGAGCGGAAACACGAAAGGGATCAATGGCCCAAGAGCTTTCCTTACCTGCATCCCACAAATGCGAACTCCCAGAGACCCAGAAGTGCTCTGCTCACACTTCTTTATGTGGCGGGCTTTCTTCTCCTCCGAGGCATCATCCCCATGCTGCCTGGTACCCATCTTTAAGTCCAGAATGCAAGGGTATTTATACGCTGACACCACGTTTTCAAGCAAGAGAAACTCTGAATAGCACACGTTAAGGGCAAAAGGAACGCCTAATTGAAGGAAGGCTTAGATCAGAGATGGCCCTGTGCATTTCTGGCAGGTCACTTTAAACAGTTCTCGAGTGCAATGAGAACGTGTGATGCACCTTTGTCTACCTGCAGCATAGCAATTGCCCTGGCTGCTAATTTCAGCCAATTTAGTATAGTTGCACCAGTTGCATTTGCCAGTGGCTCCTCTCTAGGGCAGAGGCAGCCCAGGGCTGTCAATCCAGGGCTTTTCATCAGCACTGAATTCACTTGAGTGCAGTGGGGAGCGAGGGGCATTACGCTGCATTAGTCCATGACTAGTGATCAAATGAAGTTGCAGAAGGAAGAAGCAAAGCTACTGCTGCTTTTTTGAACCCTTTATGTTTTGTAATTCCTACATGATTGTGTTTTTAAATACACGGTCCAAAGCGCCGTTGGCTTTGGACAGATATCCTTTGATGTAGAGCCTCTTTTAAACAGAGATGGAGAGGATATAGCATGCAGTTATATTTGGTTGGCTCCCAGGGGCTTTGGGGCACAGAATAAACCTACACACAAAATGTATGTTGATACATTTTTAGTAGCCATTATTAGTAGCCACGGTGCTAGTGACAACCCTACCCTGGCGAGCCCTCCTCAATGCAAAACAAGTAAAGTGCAACAGGAACAGCTGGAAATAAAAAGGATACGATGAAGTTTATTCTCGTTATATTTGGAGGACATGCGGTTCAGGTGCTGTTGGTGGCAGTGAAGTCCCCAGGGGTTATAGCTGTTTCTTTCCGGCTGGTTTCCATTTGCATCTTCCATGAGTGAAGCAACGCTTGTATGATACTGAAGATCTGTCCTCAATAGCATCTTCCCTGGGCAGCTAGACAAAGTGCACAAAAGAGGCAAATTTGGATTGAAAGCTCCAGAAAGGCAGCAATTTTTTTTCTCCTTTTGTAGTGGCGGAAATTGGATAAGGGAAATTTTCAGGGGATCCCAAAGGAAAAATATTCATTGTGTCTAACCTGCTGAGACCCTTTGTTACTGACTGAAATACTACGTACTGGAACAAATTAGGCTGTTACTCCATGCCAGTATTTTTCACTGCAATTTGAGAGTGACTCTGGCTTCCATGAAAGGGTGCCCAGACTCATAGCACTGACGGTTGGAAGGGGGTGCATCCAATATCGCCCAAGCAAGAGATTGCCTGGCAGCACTGAGTGCAATGGCTGTGCATCTGCTACTTACAGTCCTCAGCAGGCTTCAGCTCACTATCGCTTGTGTGGCTTTTGTAACTACTGAGCTTTGCTGATTGGCTCTCGGAGGGCAGGTGGACATGCAGCCACAACCTCTGTCCCCTTCTGCGGTGCACAGCACCTTGGGGGAGTAGGTATAACGCACTCCCTGCTTTCTCCAGAGTTCAGGGGCTGCAATTCTGCTCACGCCCAGGCAGATCAGACAAGCAGCTACTACAGAAAACAGCCAAAGGTCTGTTTTCTGCAGGGCTATAAACATAGAAGGATGCCTTTGAGGGTGGTGGAGTTGCCCCAGAGTCTCCCATCATGTGTGCGAGTGTCAAATCTGGGTCATTGTATTTGTAGGCAATTCAGCGTGTAAAACGCTGGAAGCTGGTAGGCAGGTGTTGCTAAATCAGAAGTAATACCACTGAAGCCAATGGAATTGCACTGCAGTGAAGCCAGGACAAACTCAACGTTAGGATATCGGCATGATATCTCACGGTCTCAAGGCACCGGAGTAATACAATCACACCCAGTAGGGTCTCCCACTGTGTTATGCCCACTGTAAACCCTACTCCCATCTGGGCTTCCCACGCGCAGGCCTGTGATTATAAATGAGTTCAGCCTGAATTTGGCTTGGACACGAGCAAAACTAATGCTGCTTTCATGACATCTGGCAGTCACCTGTCTTTGATGGTCTTGGTGAGCTGGTTGTGACCCCACTTGACAAGCATGTGGTCACTGCCACTGCTGCTGCTCGTCCACTTGCACTTGTGCCATATCGTGACTGAAGTCTCCTTGACGGCATTATCCAAGGAGTGGCAAGTCTCAGTTTGCAGGCTGGGGCTGGCTATCAGGCTCAGGTTGCCCATGTTGTCCTTTCGGAGACACACAGAAATGATACCTTCAAAAAGAAGCCAAGGGAAGGGAAATCACGTGAGTGGGACAAACCACAGACCAATCAGCACTTGTATTTATTAGATGCTGCCCAACTCTGCTTACAACAGCAATATTTAGCAGTCCATTTTCCACTTTGGAGGGTTGAGCTATAGGGACTCCGAATCAGATCCCTCAAGCCCCTGTAAGTGTGGAAAGCAGGCACCGGCTTTTTAGATATCCCCTTCTCCTCTGCTTACTCCACCCCCCACCATGCTGCTTCACATGCAGCCCGCCCGTCCCGTACATCATGTTCCCCATAGTCCAGCTCCTCTCCAGGCAGTCATTCTTTCCAAGCTATGCAACAGCTGAACCAGCAAAGCCCCCGACACAGGACTCTGGAGTACTTGGCTGACTTACAGAGAGCGATTCGGGTCTTGCCCTTAGCCATGGGACAAAGGTTGAGATGTTTTCTGGGAGCAAAACAGGAGAGGGAGCAAATCCTTGACACAAAAATCACAGCGTGCAAACATGTGCTCCATATTAGAGCAGGTGAGGGCTCATCAGCACCCCTGCCCCCCAAGCAACCTAGCACTGTCGCAAGGAGTTTCGGTGATGAGAGCAGGAAGGAATTGCCTAATGACCACTCCAGGACTTCAGTCATAAATGCAGACAGAAACAAGGCATCCCACTTCAAAGCCCTACCTCATCCCCACTGAGCAGAGGGCATCGCCTGTGTTAGTCTCGTGGTCTCAAGGCACTAGAGTGATACGATCACACCTAGTAGGGTCTCTCATTTTAGCCAGCTGGCTGAGCTTTGCACCAAGAGACTGCCATTTTAGTCCCAGCTCCTGTTCCCTTATTACTCAGAATCACGTAATAGGTTAGAAGAGACCACAGGAGGGCACATCTAGTCCAGCTCCCTACTCAAAGGTGCACAATAGCCTTGGAAGGTCAATGTCTTAGCTGCAACCTCTACAGCTGGGAAGCCCAAAGCACTATGCCCTGGGCCTGAAGTCTGCAGGAGCTGTAGTGCTCAGCACCCCTGCAAACCAAGCCATCTTGAATCACGCTCCTAACATCTGTGCGTCAGCTTTTCCCAGCCATCAGGTAGGCATACAGATCCTTACTCCTACAAGAATAACCCTAGCTCTTACATAAGCACTTTCCACTCACAGAACTCAGTCATTACTATTATCCCCATGCTACACGTGGGGAAACAGTCACGTCTTGGCTGAAGTCACCCAGCACACCGGCCGCAGGACTAGGTATAGAAGCCACATCTCCTGAGTCCCAGCCCAGGGCTCTGCCTTTTTAGCCACGTTGCTACAGCCAGGTCT